TGAACTACGTTTCCGCTCTGTTCTAATGCCTTCCTACTTACATTGAAAATGAAATGCACGGTTCCTACCTTCCCTCTGGACCCCTGAAGGACTGTCCCCTGTCTTCCCCTTTTCTACGCATCTCTACTCAAAAAAGAAACTGGAGAGAGGCGAAGACCGCGTCTCCGTTGGGTTTTAGACATGGAGCTGTGAAGGGCAGCATCCTAAATCATGAATTGTTTGGGCTGGGAAGGGGGATTATAGATAAGGCAATAAATATTGTTTTATTTCTTTAAAAAAACATTTCTCACAATAAAAAATCTAATATAATAAAAGCCTAATATGCTAATGATATGCTAAGGCCACTCACCACCAAGGGGCAGACGCTCCAACTGGTAGGTTAGCTTGCTGCTGGGGCCCAGCCAATCGGGACTGAGCGAGATGGGCCGGACATGCCCTGGAGCCCTCCCGTGTCTCTCCCCGACCTTGATCGTGCCCCAGGGGGGGTCCCTTGGCCTGGCCTGTGCCCTCTGGCAATCCAGGACCCCTGGGGGGGATCTCAGAGAGCTGGTTTTGGCCGATCCCACAGGCCAGGCCGAGGGACCCCACTGGTGCCAGAATTCGTGCACTGGGCCTCTAGTGTGTTATAAAAAAAGATACATTTTCTCCTCTGTCTGAAGCCATAAGAGTTTGAATTAAAAATTATACCTGCAACGTGGTGCAGATGTTGGCATTTGAAAGCCAAATGCAATGGGCCTGTGGTTGCTAAGCAACCCGTGCCACCCAATCAGCACAGGGTGGTCCAGTGGCCGGGTTCTGGGCTGGGTCCCGACAGGGCAGGGCAGGACCAGGATGTCACGCTCGGGCCTGGTGGGCAGCTCGGCCTCCGGCTTCCTCGTCCTGAGCACGCGCTTTAACTTCCCTGCGTCACTTCTCATTCCGTCTCTGCGGAAGCCCCGTGTTGTTTCTCAGAAATAACCAAGGAACTGGCCCTTCCGCTCACGGAGGTTTGGCGTCGATGGCGACGGTGGAGGCTTTTAGACAAGGCGGGACATTTCGAGGATGTTCTGTAAAGGCAGCCTGACAGACGGAGGCAAGCAGCCCACCTGACCCGAACGGGAGCCCGGGCGGGGCGCTCCCTCAGGAGCAGGGGCCCTGGTGCGAACAGAGGGTGTCGGGCACGTCAGAGCCTCGTGGGCAGCCGAGCGAGGCCGAGGAATCCACACCGGGCTGCCAGCAGCGTGTGCGGTCGGCATTCTTGCTCCAGTTGCTTCTGAACGTTAGGAATAATGGCCAAACCTCAGCTGGAAAAAAAAAGTCCTAGTGGAATAGTACAGGTTTGTTAAAAAAAAAAATAATAAAATAAAATTTTAAAAAATTGCTAGCAAACCGCCTGGCCCATGTGGCTCAGTGGTTGAGCGACGCGTTGACCTATGAACCAGGAGGTCACGGCCCGGTTCCCGATTGGGGCACAGGCTCGATCCCCAAGGGGGCCGTGCAGGAGGCAGCCAGCCCCTGATTCTCGCTCATCATTGATGTTTCTCTCTCTCTCCCTCCCCCTTCCTCTCTGAGATCAAGAAAAATATATTTCTAAAAAATTTTCTAAAAACCAACACAAAACAAAACTGGAAGAAAAGAACCAGGAAAGGCAGAGGGGGGCACCGCGAAGTTGTCTGCTGACACTGGGGTGTGCGGTGCGCCCGGGGCAGGGTGCCAGCCCCCAGATACGCTGCCCAGTCCTCTCTGCTCCCCGGGAGCTGGCGGCAGGGCTCCTGCTTCTTTGTGGGTTTTCCGCGTCTGGGGGGGGTGGTGGCCCAGAGCGCGTGGGGATTGCCGAGAGCGGGGCGTGTGTCTGCGTCCCGAGAAGAAGGGGGTGATGTGCAGGAAATGGTTTGTTTGGCGGGGACGCTACAGGTCGGTTTTGTGTTGTTTTGTGGGTTAAATGGGCAATTTTCGAGTCGGAATAAATACACGTAATCGATGGAGCCTCAGGGCACGGGTAGTGTCTGAGTGTCCGCCGGGCGGGGGAACGTTTGGCAGCAAAGGGCTGGAGGAAAGGCAGCAGCTGCGCAGGCCTGGGTGGCACGCGCCCCGTC